CGCTGTCGAATTGCACAACACCAACAAGAACAACAACAGCAACAACCACAACAACAACCAGAACCAGAAGAAGAAGAAGAAGAAGAAGAAGAAGAAGAAGAAGAAGAGGAAGAGGGGAGGAAGTCATACCTGCGTCAGCGGTACTTACCTGGGCGCCATAGCCGTGCTCCATGCTGTCAGCCTGCACAAGAACAACAACAACAACAGCAACAACCACAACTAACAACCTGAACCACAACCACCTAGGCGCCATAGCCGTGCTCCTCGCTGTCGACCTGCACAACAACAACAACAGCAACCACAAGAAGAAGAAGAAAAAGAAGGGCAGAGGCTTTATCTGCATCACTTACCTAGGCCCCATAGCCGTGATCCACGCTGTTGAAGGAAGAAGAAGAAGAAGAAGAAGAAGAAGAAGAAGAAGAAGAAGAAGGCAGAAGAAGAAGAAGAGGGGCGGAGGCCATACCTGCGTCACTTACCTGGGCAATAACCGTGATCCACGCGCTCGACCTGCACAACAACAACAACAACAGCGACAACCACAACAACAACCAGAACCACAACTAGAACCACAACCACCTGGGCGCCATAGCCGTGCTTTACGCTGTCGACCTGCACAACACCGACAAGAACAACAACAACAACAACCACAAGAAGAAGAAAAAGAAGAAGAAGAAGAAGAAGAAGAAGAAGAAGAGGGGCGAAGGCCATACCTGTGTCACTTACCTGGGCGCCATAGCCGTGATCCACACTGTCGACCTGCACAACAACAACAACAACAGCAACAACCACAACAACAACCAGAACCACAACCACCTGGGCGCCATAGCCGTGCTCCACGCTCTCGACCTGCACAACACCACCAAGAACAACAACAACAACAACCACAAGAAGAAGAAGAAGAAGAAGAAGAAGAAGGAGAAGAAGAAGAAAAAGAAGAAGAAGAAAAAGACGAAGAAGAAGAAGAAGAAGAAGAAGAAGAAGAAGAAGAGGGGCGAAGGCCATACCTGTGTCCCTTACTTGGGCGCCATAGCCGTGATCCACGCTGTCGACCTGCACAACAACAACAACAACAGCAACAACCACAACAACAACCACAACCACAACCACCTGGGCGCCATAGCCGTGCTCCACGCTGTTGACCTTCACAACACCAACAAGAACAACAACAGGAACAACCACAACAACAACCAGAACCAGAACCACAAGAAGAAGAAAAAGAAGAAGAAGAAGAAGAACAAGAAGAAGAGGGGCAGAGGCTATACCTGCGTCACTTACCTGGGTGCCATAGCCCTGATCCACGCTGTCGACCTGCACAACAACAACGACAACAGCAACAACCACAACAACAACCAGAACCACAACCACCTGGGCGCCATAGCCGTGCTCCACGCTGTCGACCTGCACAACACCAACAAGAACAACAATAACAACAACCACAAAGAGAAGAAGAAGAAAAAGAAAAAGAGGGGCGGAGGCCTTACCTGTGTCACTTACCTTCGCACCATAGCCGTGATCCACGTTGTCGACCTGCACAACAACAACAACAACAGCAACAACCACAACAACAACCAGAACCACAACGACCTAGGTGCCATCGCCGTGCTCCACGCTGTCGACCTGCACAACACCAACAAGAACAACAACAGCTAAAAGAAGAAGAAGAAGAAGAAGAAAAAGAAGAAGAAGAAGGAAGAAGAAGGAAGAAGAAGAAGGAGAAGGAGAAGGAGAAGAAGAAGAAGAAGAAGAAGAAGACAGAAGAACAAGGAGAAGAAGGAGAAGAAGAAGAAGAAGAAGAAGAAGAAGAGGGGCAGAGGCCATACCTGCCTTACTTACCTGGGTGCGATAGCCGTGATCCACGCTGTCGACCTGCACAACAACAACAACAACAGCAACAACCACAATAGCAACCAGAACCACAACCACCTGGGCGCCATTGCCGTGCTCCACGCTGTCGACCTGCACAACACCAACAAGAACAACAACAGCAACAACCACAACAAAAACCAGAACCAGAACCACAAGAAGAAGAAGAAGAACAACAAGAAAAAGATGAAGAAGAAGAAGCAGCAGAAGAAGAGGGGCGGAGGCCATACCTGCTGCACTGACCTGGGCGCCATAGTCGTGATCCACGCTGTCAACCTGCACAAGAAAAACAACAACAGCAACAACCACAACAACAACCAGAACCACAACGACCTGGGCGCCATAGCCGTGCACCACGCTGTCGACCTGCACAACACCAACAAGAACAACAAGAGCAACAACCACAACAACCACCAGATGAAGAAGAAGAAGAAGAAGAAGAAGAAGAAGAAGAAGAGGGGCGGAAGCCATACCTGCGTCAGCGGTACTTACCTGGGCGCCATAGCCGTGCTCCATGCTGTCGACCTGCGCAACAACAACAACAACAACAGCAACAACCACAACAACAACCAGAACCACAACCAMAACCACCGGGGCGCCATAGCCGTGCTCCACACTGTCGACCTGCACAACAACAACAACAGCAACAACCACAACAACAACCAGAACCACAAGTAGAAGAAGAAGAAGAAGAAGAAGAAGAAGAAGAAGAAGAAGAAGGGCGGAGGCCATACTTGCGTCTCTTACCTGGGCACCATAGCCGTGATCCACGCTGTCGAAAGAAGAAGAAGAAGAAGGAGAAGCAGAAGAAGAAGAAGAAGAAGAAGAAGAAGAAGAAGAAGAAGAAGAACAAGAACAAGAAGAAGAAGAACAAGAAGAAGAAGGCAGAAGAAGAAGAAAAAGAAGAAAAAGAAGAAGAAGAAGAAGAAGAAGAAGAAGAAGAAGAGGGGCGGAGGCCATACCTGCGTCACTTATCTGTGCGCCATAGCCGTGATCCGCGCTGTCGACCTGCACAACAACAGCAACAACCACAATAACAACCAGAACCACAACCAGAACCACAACCTGAACCACAACCAAGTGGGCGCCATAGCCGTGCTCCACGCTGTCAACCTGCACAACACAAACAAGAACAACAACAGCAATAACCACAACAACAACCAGAACCAGAACCACAAGAARAAGAAGAAGAAGAAGAAGAAGAATAAGAAGAAGAAGAAGAGGGGCGGAGGCCATACCTGCGTTACTTACCAGGGCGGCATAGCCATGATCCACGTTGTCGACTTGCACAACAACAACGACAACAGCAACAACCACAACAACAACCAGAACCACAACCACGTGGGCGCCATAGCCGTGCTCCACGCTTTCGACTTGCACAACACCAACAAGAACAACAACAGCAACAACCACAAGAAGAAGAAGAAGAAGAAGGAGAAGAAGAAGAAGAAGAAGAAGAAGAAGGGCGGAGGCCATACCTGTGTCACTTACCTGGGCCCCATAGCCGTGATCCACGTTGTCGACCTGGACAACAACAACAGCAACAACCACAACAACAACCTGAACCACAACCACCTGGGTGCCATAGCCGTGTTCCACGCTGTCAACCTGCACAACACCAACAAGAACAACAACATCAACAACCACAACAACAACCAGAACCTGAACCACAAGAAGAAGAAGAAGAAAGACAAGAAGAAGAAGAAGAAGAAGAAGAAGAAGAAAAAGAGGGGCGGAGGCCATACCTGCGCTACTTACCTGGGCGCCATAGCCGTGATCCACGCTGTCGACCTGCACAACAACAACAACAACAGCAACAACCACAACAACCACCAGAACCACAACGATCTAGGCGCCATAGTCGTGCTCCACGCTGTCGACCTACACAACACCAACAAGAACAACAACAGCAAGAAGAAGAAGAAGAAGAAGAAGAAGAAGAAGAAGAAGAAGAGGGGTGGAGGCCATACCTGCGTCACTTACCCGGGCGCCATAGCTGTGATGCACGCGCTCGACCTGCACAACAACAACAACAACAACAGCAACAACCACAACAACAACCAGAACCACAATGTTGTCGACCTGTACAACACCAACAAGAACAACAACAGCAACAACCACAATCACAACCACAATAACAACCACAACCAGAACCACAAGAAGAAGAAGAAGAAGAAGAAGAAGAAGAAGAGGGGCGGAGGCCATACCTGCGTCACTTACCTAGGCGCTATAGCCCTGATCCATGCTCTCGACCTGCACAACAACAACAACAGGAACAACCACAACAACAACCAGAACCAGAACCACCTGGGCGCCATAGCCGTGCTCCACGCTGTCTACCTGCACAAGGC